GGCACACTAGTGATTCTAAATGCTCCCGAAAAGACTAATCAGGCATGGTATTGGAGCATTGTCAAGTGTCTTTGCTTTGTTGACTATCCTCGTTTAAAACAATGCCATAAACAATAAATATGTACTCATATATGACCAAACAAGCTACAATGAAACGCTGTTTTACCAGCTACGCATGCTACGCATGCTACGGTGCGATGATATGCACATCATCGCACCGTAGCATGCACTTGGTTTCGATAAACCTGAACTCAGTGCTCTTAAAAGCACAGATGTTAGTGCAGGCATAATATTGCATCATCAGCTACTCCTTAGGCATCAGTGTGATCGGCATGCCTGGTGTGCACTTGATATGCTGACAGCTATTAAGTTTATACAAATATATCCATCCACTTAGTAACAACTGACTCAAGGAGTAAAAAATGCAGCCAAGACAGCGTGTCATTAACGTTTTCACATGAAATCGATCTCCACAAATAACAAGACTCACTGTATTTTATTTGGATTTAGTTCATAAGAATGTATAAAAACCACACTTTCAAAAGTTGTTTTCATGCCTTCTGCTGCACTGAGAATAAGATTTCTATCCCAGGTATAATGCCAGCAGAACTTAAACAAAAACATTGTTTTTAGAATAAGTGTGTTAAATCAAATATATGCAACAAAACATGAAACTAAGCATATATGGGCTTCAAAAACATCTCGACTCTAATAAGCCTAAGCCATTTGCTTGCCCTGTAATATGTGAATTTTCTCTGAAAAGAATAGGAGCGTTTCAATTTAGTGCACAAAAGTTGGCACTATTGCAACCCATAATGTAAACCATTTTACATTTCGAAGCTAGTTATGACCAAAGCACATAGATTTGGGAGTGTTCAAAAAAGGCAACCCTTTTTCGATTGGGAAAGCTTCTGCTAAAATGAATTGTGATGCTTGTTTCCGTCAAAAAATACTTGATTCTATTTTATTCCAATATTAAGGTATAAATTCCATTTCCAAGTGAAAAAATGAATTGACTCTATTTCATTGAGAACATTAAATTATCAACTCGGACCCTTTTAAGGTGGAAGTGACATCAAAGATAGTAAGTAGCTCTCACCCTGCAAACTTGAAAGAGCACTGAAGAGAAGAGTACAAGTTCTTAATGAAGCGTCACCTTAGAAGAATCAACTACATTCATAATAAATTCCCCACTATAGTTCAAATGTTTTTCACTCTTCCAATCTTTGATAAGCAGATTTTAACTGCAGATAACAACAATCATATATTCTGCAAAGGCTTTATTAAATGCTAGTAGTTAGCAGTGTCTTCGTATTTCTCTTTTTTTCATCCGTGTGTCTAAACTTTGCTGCTACTACTTGTAATGCATTGTCACCTAAATACAGCTGTATTGGTTCCTGACTAAAACATATACTTTTTTTCTGATTTCAATAGATCTTTTTTCTTTCTGTGGTGTTTTTTTTCCATTTACAAATCTTATCGTATATGTAATGGGTTACTGCATGCATCGGTGTCACTCTCCAGTGCTGCATAACCACACTATTTGAACTGTCAGAAGATAGCTGCATGTGGTTAAATGCACCCTAGTATGGTTTGGATCTCTCGTTCACTTATGAAGGCTAATACTAGATAGTAAACTATTAAAGTAGGCACGGACAAAATTGATGATCATCTATATGTTCCTCATGCCTGTGCAGAGTGTACTCACCAGTAGGACGCATTGCTTCAAGGTATAAACACGGGCAAGCACAGAGTCCAGCAACCACATCAAAGAAGTTTTCATCGCTTGAAAGGAAAAGAAATTTGATGACTTTATGTGACAGTAACCACTGAACGTGACAACTAAGTGTGTTATTCACAATACTTTCTTTACTAGGACCACCTCAATGCTAAACTTACAACTAAACATTTACAAAAACCAATATCTTTGCAACTTAATCATCAGCTGTAAAAAAATATTTGGCACTGTACACATATCAAACTGCTTTTGCCCACAGAAAAAACACTCTTATAACCAGATAATACAAACTAACATATTTCCTTAAATGTTATTTCTCAATAGAAAAAATCCAGAATATGGACCATATTCTTCATATACTGAAAATCCTACCATTGTTCTACACAGAAATTTTGTTCCTAACCAAGTTTGAGATTAACAGTTGTTTAAATAAAATTGCTGGGGTTTGACGCCCTAAAACCACGATGTCATTATAAAGGACACCGTTGTGGAGGCCTCCGGAAATTTTCACCATGAGGCCATCTTTATCGTGCACTGACATTGCAAAATACAGGGGCCTTCGGCATTTCTCCTGCATCAAAACGCAACTTATACAATGGCCGGCATTGAACGCGTAGTCGGCAGCTGACCACCGTAACCGCAATACAACCGCGGTAGACCAAGCATACTCTTTTATTATTTTTAGAACGCTTCTTACGAGTAATGGTTTCCAGCTTTCTTGAAGAATGCACATGCCACTTTACATTTCCTGAGGTAAAGTTGTCTCTGGTTGTTGGCACCTCAGTGCTACTAGCCTACAGCTGCCTTCAGCCGCCTTCAGCCACCTTTTATTACACAACGTAGAGCAGATGAACCTTGGCTGGACGGAGCTTGTAGGCTGTAGCGCGCCAAGGTAGATATCGCCTCGTCTTTTGGCGCAGCGGCGTCATAGAAGCGTAAACAATACGCCACCAGCATAAAGGGAGACGCACATATTAAACGGCTGCACTATAGGGCGTTGAGAAGCCCGAACACTGTAGGCATAGAGTCATGCAACTGCTGTGTACAAGTAATCAGAGCGCAATGAAAATGTCACGCTTAAAATGTAAACACGACCAACAAATTCAATCGGTAAATCGGCGATTTCCGTAAATGCTGTATTTTCTGCTTTCAGTACGCACTCCGTCTCAGAAAATTCATGCATGATACAAGCCGTGGAAAACCGACATCGACAGAGGAGCAGTGCGTTCACGGCCTAAACTTTACTCGAAGCGGCCTAATCTGAGGTATTGCGTAGCTACTACATGACACAGATAATTACTGGCACGAGCTGTAACCCAAATGGGGAAAAAATGAGAAGCTAGGCACTCACCTCCAAGATGCAGACCGGATAAAAAAGGCAGCGCCAGCCAAATCCCGTTCCTTGTGTGCGTCCTAGCCGTTGAGGAGGGTAGTCCGCTAGTCTTTAAAGTAGTGACTGCCGACGGATGAGTGATGATGGCGGTGTGCTCGCCGCTGTCGAAAGGTTTCTCTTTCCGCGATGCCCCCCTACACCGTCGTTTGGTAACAAATACAGTTTCGTAGAACAAAAGCGGTGCAGAATACATCGTGGCGATTGATGTGGTAGTGGTATGCGACGGCCATATTAGTATAAATTTCTAGAGGTCATCTGTATGGCAAATAATTACTTTCACCTAATCTTTTTGACGAAGGAGACACTTCTTTTTTTTCATTATTCAGCAAAACATCATTGGTAAACATGCGCGGTGTCTGTGATATTCATGAAGTGGTGGAGTCTGTGATTTTTAAACGCGTGCTGTATCCTTAACGTTCGCGAAGAGGTGGAGTGTGTTTATTTCCTGGACACTCCGGTTTCTGTCCGTAAGTACGCGCCATTTTTTGCAGTGTGGTCAAAATTTCCGGAGCCCTCCACTAAGGCGTTTCTCATAATCAAATTGTAGATTTTGGGACATTATACCCCACCAATCATAATCATCAAGATTTGTATACTTTTCATTTCCCTTTAACTATACTACCCATATTATTTCATTAATGTAGCCTAATTGGCGAAGTGAACATTTTGATGAGCACATGCAGTCGTCTGAAAACACTAGTGCCTCAATTTCAGGTAACAGACAAAATAAAAGGCAACGTCTCCTCCCCCCCCTCTCGCCCACCCTCTAGAACCTTTGCAGGTCTGAACGAAAAAATACGCATTTAACTGACAGCAATAATACTTCCTGGTTAATAAAGCATTGCATTTTGTTGCTTACCTGCATGTTGTTACAGTATCGTTCAAACAACTTGTCCTGCTTGAATTTCACTATGGCCCGCCATTATTTTTAATTATTAACAAAAATAGATGTTAGGGTTAAAAGCTAAAACCGCTATATATTTATGAGAGTTGCCGTCGTAGGGGGCTGCGAAAATTTCGTGCACCTGAGTTTTTTTAACGATCACCTAAATATAAGCACACGAGCTTCAAGCATTTTGCCTCCATCAAAAATATGGCCGCCGCGGCTGGGTTTCGCTCCTGCAACCTGCGGGTAAGCAGCTGAGTTATTGTGAAATAAAAGTAAACAATAACAGTTAAATAATTAGGATTAACCGACCCATTCATAGATGAATTTTTACGGTGCCGTTCTTACATACAGTCTTTCTAGTCCAACGTGCTTGTAGATGAGGGATCATAAACCTGAAGTTTCCAGCGAATGTAACGAACAGAAGCTCTACTATGTCGCTCTGCCTGTTACAACGAACGAATCGCTTCATTATAGTAAAGGTACCACGTTTCGCACGCGTAGTTGCTGTTTTCTATAGTTAAGTCATTGATGTGTGACTGGGCTTGTGTTTCAGAGAGAAAGATATCGAAAAAAAAAAGAGCAAGGCATGTCTTGCTCCAAGTCTAACGTGTGGACCATTGCTTCGCCTGTGTTTTCCTTGCGTTCATCTGCTCTTTTCGTGTGATTATGTGAATTTATCTGTTTCTGTTCTTCCTATTATCTCCCCTCTTTTGCGGTTATCTATTCTCTGTTCTATGATCTTCCTAATACTGTTTCCTGCTCCAAGCGTGGTGCGCATAACTGTCAGACCTGGTGTGTCGAATTGGCTTCGCTGACTCGTTCAGATGAATTAGCCTTTCAGCGACGCTGGTTATCGTGGGAAAGAGCAAGCTCGCACACCCAACGTGCAGCCTAGAAGGCATATATAGCGCGGAACATACATGATAGGCATTCGAGACGAGCATAGGACAGTCAAACAAAAAAGTTGTGTGGTGTCTTACTTGTGTTTCTTGATGTCCATGATGCCGCCCTTCTGGTAGCCAAGCCGTTCAGATGGGTTCTCGCGGCAGAGCCGCTTGATGAGCGACACGGCATTGCGTGACATGGTGCGCGGAAAGTTGAGCATGTCGATGCCACGCAGGATAATGTTGTACGTCTTCATCGGGTCATCGGCCGCAAACGGTGGCGCGCCTGCGAGCAGCTCGAACATGAGCACGCCCACAGACCAGAAATCCACCGCGCGGTCGTGACCCTTGTTGAGTACGACCTCTGGCGCGACGTACTCGGGTGTGCCACAGAAGGTCCACGTCTTTTGGCCGGGTGGCACGCGCTTCGAGAAGCCGAAGTCCACCTGGAAGGAGCGACATCTCTTATAAAAATGAATTTTGAGAGTCTAATGCACCTAAATACCGCCTAATGAATCACTAAATTGACATTAGATCTGCAAAATCTAGTGTTTCTTAGAATCAGGTGTGCAAGGTAGACTCAGATGACAACATGCACCACAATTTCTGACGGTCAAAGTATACGAAGTTTTTCTATTGCGTGTCCCATTGTCAAGACACATCACAACAAACAAATTCACGTAAATCTTTCATAGCCAACAAAAACTCAATTTCTTACTACTAAACGTAATAATTGTGGGAATTTAAGATCATGAAACCACTATATGAGTATGAGGAACGCCGTAACGGAGGGCTTCAGCAATTTTGACGACCTCTGATTTCTTAACGTGTACCTAAGTCCTATTCAATTTCTTACTGATCTCAACATTAACGTTCATGTTTTTCGGAAATATAAAACACTAAACAGTTTGTATTTTCATAGATCTTTATATCATGTTTTAGTAAGTATATCATTTACACGACTAGAATGTCTTCGTGCACATGCTTAGGTGAATGTCAGCTAGACCATATCAACAACAACAATTAAGTTATTATTGTTATTATTATTATTATTATCATTATTATTATTATTATTATTATTATTATTATTATTATTATTATTATTATTATTATTATTATTATTATTATTATTATTATTATTATTATATTATTATTATTATTATTATCGAGATATTTACTTGACCCATACACATGTGCATGCTCTGGATAGTGTTATGTAGTTTTGCGAATGCGAAAAATGCAGTGGCCCTCTCTCACTGGTCTGCAAGAAGGAGCTAGACCAATAATACTTGTTCTAGTTGTGCCATGATCCCTTTATTCAAGGATCGACCTTTTAATACATCAATATACATTTGGCTGAAGACATACTTGGTACTCGCTATTTGTGTTTGACAAAACTTGTTTTGCGTGAAAGTAATCTTTTGTGGTATCTGTTATGTATGTATCAGCGTTGACAACTGTTCATGGCACTGGAGATCTTGAGAGCGTCATTAATTAGTGCCTTAACAACAAGCTTGTTATTATTCCCTATAAGACAAAATTGGTTATTTTCAGTTCCAGCTCAAAAAAGCGAGAGAACACACTCCTGGTGTGTGTTAACAACTTTGCAATACCTTCTTCTGAAAAATGCACAATTCTCGTTGTAGAACTTGATTGTTTTTTTAACTTCAACTATCATATTTAGTTAATAAAAGGAAAAACCGCCTATGGTATTCGTGTTCTGCTCAGTGCCCGCCAATGTTTCGCACTTACAACATTATCTGCTTTTTTGCTCTCTATTTTGCTTTCTTTCATAGTCATTTCAACTACTGTATTGAATCTTGGGGACTCGCGTATAAAACGTATGTAAGCCCATTAGCGCATATTCAAAAACAGGCTCTCCGCATAATAACGCACACTGATTATCATGCCCATTCAGTTCCACTATTTTCTTCACTAAATATTCTTCCTATTTCAAATATGATTGTCTTTAACTTAGCTCCAATTGCTTAGCTCCTGGTGCATATTCCGGATTTTTTATGTATTGTAGGCAATAAAATTACCACTTCCTCAAGTAATACAAGTTTCTCCTTTCAGAACAATATCTTATTGCCCAAGGCGCGCACCAATTACGGACTAAAGACAGTGAGCTTCTCCACCATCAAGATATGGAACACTGCTTTTAGAGACTGAAACCTCTCCCTCATTAAATGCATTTAAACATTCAGTTCGCCTTTATCTGAATAGGTCTTTAAACTTCTGACTTATGTGTAGTTACTGTCGTTGCCCTTTTTTGTCATACATTTTCATGCTTTGTTATTCATTTTCATTAGTTTATTTTTCTTTTTAAATATTTGTTAGTGTTTATTCCTAGCGATTGCTTCGTTTGCACTGTAGTAGCTTCAGTTTTTTTCAATCCGTTTTCTGTGTACTTCAATGTCAAATATTCTCTATGGTATTGCATACCATATTGCCTCTTTTATTATTTTGTACGCATATTTACGCTTTATTTACGAAATCCTGCTCCTGTTTTTTTATTTTTCTTTGTGTATCTTATAACAAGAGGTCCCATTGCAGTGTTTACACTAAGGGACCTCCTTCTGTATACCTCTCCCTATATGTAACTCTCCTCCCACTTACGCTCAATAAACTGAAACTCAAACAGAGGGCAAGTTGCAGCGCACAATTGGAGCTGTCTTCCCGCAAGCCATGACAAGCCTTAATGAGTGGTAGGCATTTCTTCTTTTTGTTATCACAGTAGGACAGTTTGCACACATAGCACCTATTGAGAAATGGGCACACTAAGCTTTAGCTTAGGTGTGGGAAGCCTATGTCCTGCCCTTCAGTGCAGTATTCCTTGGACATAGAACCTGTATAACTTGGTTTGTAATCCTTGAACTTGGAATGCTGCCATAGCCAACGTTGTGACACTTAGAAGTGTCTGGATAATAAGAACAGCTGTTCCTTGTCACTGCTGTCTTAACAAAAACTGATGTACTTGTTGAAGGGTTGCACAAGGGAAACATACAGCATTGTCTGTAATATATTTAGCTCATTAAAAATTAGCTCAATAGTTGTAGACTTTTACTCAGCCAAAATTTACAGGCTGAACATTTCGACCGCCTGTGCGACCAGCCGACGCTGTTCTTTCCCTTCGGCGCCGATCAAGTCGAGCCTGGAGGTGATGGAAAGGGATGGGGGAGGGTAATAGCTGGAGTGCTGAGCAGTTAGGCAGTAATACAGGCAGTGTGACAGGTCAGTATATGGGGAGGGGCAATTGGACAGCAGAGGTTATAGCTATAATTATAAAGGAAAAGGTGAAGGGGGTTATAAGGCAATTCATTTGGATGTGCCATAGAGTTCGAGCCTCCAGTGCAGTGAGTGATGGATGAGAGGAAGGGTAAAGACGCTTGTCGAGCTGCAGCTGTAGATATACTTCCTTGATACAGTGACGCAAGGAGATCTGCCCATCGTTATTCGCGGGGCTCTCACTGCCTTGCGAAGGTGTGGGCCAGGTGATGAATGGTGCCCAGTGCAATATATAACGGGCAAGCTGAGAAGCCAGCTCATTTCTGTTAATACCTGTATGCCCAGGAACGCAGCGGAGGAAGACAGTGGAGAGTTGAAGAGCGGAGACCACTCGCTCGACCTCCTGTTGAAGAGCAGGGGGCAATGTGTTGTTCTGATTGTGACGGATGGCGGCATGAAAGTCAGTGTAAATCGTGTACTCGGGGAGATAAGGGAAAAGGAAAATGACTGCATGGTGTGAACCATGGAAAGGACCTCGATTGAGAGTACATTTGGCGGGTGCAAGTATGGCCCGCTGGTGTGCGTGTAAGTGCCGAAAGGTGTGGATGGTAGATAACGTAGCCGCACGAACCCCGAAGAGCCATATATGAGGCATCCGTGTACGCAACTCCTTGTGTAGAGAGAGGAGGGGAATGATGTTGTGCTGCCACATGACGCCAGTCAGCGTGAAGAACGAAGACATATTGGATGGGAGGGGAAGAATGCGAAGGTTAGAAATAGGGGTGCTAGTGACCGAAGGCAAGGTGGGAACAGAGACGGAAATGTGAGAAATACCTGCTTGGGCGAAAAGTCATTGGCCTTGACGAGTGAGAGAAAGACGGACAATCTCTCGTGGTGTAGAGAAATAAGAGAACGTAATGGATGGAAGAGGCCTGTGTCAAAGAGCTTAGTGGTAGAGGTAGGGAGAGGGAGGTTTAGAGCTGCCTTGGAGATGCCTAATAGAGCTCTTTCGAGTATGTTGATTTGCGTTTAGGTGAATTGAACCTAGGGTACAAAGTACCAGAACCTGTTAAGGGTGAGCGCATGTGCAACCCGGCACGCATGAACTTCGTGGAGCCCCGACTGCCGAGTGACAACGCGTCGCAAGAGGTGAGTAACCGAGTGGCAAGTCCTCACAGCGTGATGTGGGGCCTGCGCGTTCCTTGTCGCGTGCAAAGGGAAGCCAAGAACTTTGCATTGCTGAACAGTGGGGACGACAGAGCTCTAAAGAAGTAGGGAGATGAGGGTGTTGTGGGAGTGCTGGTAAGAAGACCGGTTTAGCAAAAATAGCTCACAATTCTCCGGTGCAGGAGACAGGCCAGCAGTAGCGAGAAAGGAAGCGATAAGATCCAGGCCACGTTGCAAAGTATCCTGCACGTGACCGGGACATCCAGACGTACACCAGAGAGTGATGTCGTCTGATTAAAATATGGTGGAGGTCCGGAGTTTCGGACAGTTGGGAGGCAAGGGGGGCCATAGCCATATTAAATAGAGTAGGAGATAGTATGGCACCTTGCGGAATGCCGCGGGTGAGGGAGTGTGGGTTAGAGAAATGACTCTAAAGCGAAAAACTCGAATGGAAAGAAAAGACCGGATGTAATAATACATGCGGGAGCCACTTGACAGGGAGGAGAGCTGAGCGAGTGTGCGGTCATGACTCACGCTATCGAATGTGTTTCGCACATTGATGGTTACAAGAGCATGAATCTGATTACGACAAGGTGAAAGAAAACTGTGCTGAAGAAAAATGAATAAGTCCTGTGCACATACGCGGCGTCAGAAGCCAATAAGAGAAGGAGAAAAACTCTTTCGCCTCAATATAATCAGACAGTCGAGTCAAGGTTATTCGCTCGAGATTCTTGCCAACGCACGATGTCAAACGGATAGGGCGAAGGTTAGAGAGAGATGGAGGCTTGCCCAGCTTCGAATTCATGCAAATTAGAGAAGATGTCCAAGAGCTTGGAAGACAGCCGCTGTGCCATGCTGCGTTGAATGTGTGTAAGAAAAATTCCTTCGCATTGTCGGGGAGATTGCGTAGTGCAGTAGACGTTATCTCATCTTCGCCGGGAGCTGAGCGGGTATATTGAGTGGCTAAGGCAGCTTCAAGCTCCCTGAGCGTGAATGGGCGGTCCAGGTCTAAGTTAGCTTCGCTACAGTAATCTGGGTAGGAAGGTGTGAG